TGGACCCTTTCCGCGAACGGGAGGGAGCAGTACGGCAGGGGTTTCGGCAGCTCCTACTCCAGCCCTTACCCGGCTTACGTGAGCCCCGAAATGGCCACGACTTGGACTTCTTCTCCCTTCGACAGCCCCATGCTGCACAACCTGCAGAGCCGAGGGACGCCCGCAGCCGCCCGGCACGCCAACTTAGGTGAGCGCAGCCGGGGTTGGGGTAGGGGAAGGGAGGGGTTCACCCCGCCGACACCCCCTCCCCGAAATTTTCACGCACGCACCCCTCGAAGCGCGAAGGGCGGGAGGGGGAAATTCAGGGTATCGCTGAGAAATAAGGGGGTCCCGCGCTGCTGCTGTTTCCTCCCCCCCCACCCCCAGATGCACATTTTTCTCTGCAGAACGGCCGTTTCCAAATATCCTCAAGGGCCAACGGTTTCCAAAAAATTAAATATAATTTAGGGCAGGCCCGGAGCGGTGAGAAATGATGTGCCGAGCTCCCGCGCAAGGGCCCGCAGACAGCTCCGAGGGGGTTGTTCGGGGCCGGCGGTGGGGATGACCGCGGCGTGCGGGACCATGATGCTCCATCAGCGTGTGGGCAGCCCCTGCCCCCCGGCTTGCTTGAGGCATAAAATGGGGAAAATTCCTTGGGAAATGGGGAAAATGCCTTGGAAAATGGGGAAAATTCCTTGGAAAATGGGGAAAATTCTTTGGAAAATGGGGAAATCACAGTTTGGCCCGTGAATCTCAGGTCTTCCCTTTGGTTTTATGGGATGTCTTTTTTCAAATTGATTTTTGGAAAGGTTGGTTAGGCTAGAAAAAGGGAAAGCGAAGGGAAATTTGGTGCTGATGGGGGGAGAGATGATGGAGAAGGAGAAAAAGGAACGCAGCCGCATTTATCACCGCGCTTTTCTGGGGGTCTCGCGGGCGCATCCGAATGGCCCAGCCCCGTATTTCAGCGTCTCGCCGGCCCAGAAAATCCCAGCCCTGATCTCTTGTGCCGATCCCCACCTCGGAGCCTTTCATTTCATCGACCGCCCCTGGGTTCTACAACCAGAAATCGGCCCGAATGGCTTTAATCAATCACTTTTTAATTTTCTGCGTCGGAAGAGGGAGACAGGGGGAGAGAAATGCGGGGTAAATCTTTGCGTCGCCGTTTCATAAACCCTCTTTTCCTCCCCGCCTTCTTTCTTCCCCGGCTTCGGTGCCAGGCTTAACAAAGAAAATGGCTCAAATTTGCCCCAGGATATGTTTTAAGACTGCGTTCCTTAACCTGAATTTTGGAGGGTAATTTTTCCGTCGCATCTAGCAAGATTTGCTTTGTCTTTAGCTTTATTTTAACTTACATTACGTTAAAGAAAGGAAAGTTGGGTGTCGGTGAAGGCTTGGCCTTGCCAGTGCCGTTTGCTTTTCTTTGGGCGCAATGAAATTGCTGAAAACGGGGGAGAGATTATCTTTAAGGATAAAGTTTGGGCCAACCAGGCAATGTTTCTGGGAAGCCCCGAGAAAGTAGAAAGTATAGGAAAAAAGCCAGATGAATCGAATAATCAAATTATAATTGAATGTTATCAACAAGGACTTATGCGCATTCGTATTTGGCTATGGTGCCGTCTCTTCCTTGGGGAAAAAAAACGTCACCTTTTTGCAGTGGTCTCAGAAGGGCTCTTAGTAATAAAAACGACTTAAAACCAAAATAACGCAAATGAAGAACTGCAGTTGCAAAAATACCCAGCAGCTTTTAAGGTGCCAGAGACCGAGCGCAGTGATTTTGGGGTTTCAAGCCCCGCGTTAGGCAGCAGTTTGCGTTGCAGGTCTTGCAGCCTGCCTTTTGGTGGCAAAAAAGTGTTTTTTATCTGGGCTCTGAAATAGCATGGGGAAGCTGGGATGCGTTGAGCCAGTCCAGACAACATTAGCGATCGCTGACGAAGGAAGAAGGAGCTGGGACCCCTTTCCATCCCCAGGTCCCCATTCGGGTGCGGGATTCACCACGTCGCCTCCGGCATCGCGGAGGATGGCACGGCAGAAACGGGAGGATTTATTAGCGTGGCTCTAATTACGTCTCTGCCTTGAACGTGGAAAAAGCATTTGGGTTTTAAACAAAAATTTCTTGGGTTTGGTATTAAAAAAAGAGAAAGAAACTGCCTGAAAGCTGGCGAATTTCAAATTCGGGATTAAAATGGATTTTGTGGAAGGCAGCTCCCCCGGCAAGCTGTTTCAGGTCCAGACCTGCCCTTTTCTTTCCCTCTCCCTCCGAGTCGGGATGCGGGCGC